CACCCCCCCGCCCCGACCCCATCGTACTCTACCTAACAGGTAGAATGGACTGATTTATAAAGTGCTTGTCTGAAAGTGTAAAGAAAGCTTTTAGCAACTTTGACGTATTCTCTGCTTTCCAAGCTAGGCTTCCACTTCACACTGACAAACACTGTGACTGACAGTTGTGCCAGAGGGAATTCTGCAGATCTGCTTGGAAACGTCTCCGTAAGGCACCGCAGGTGGACAAGCTGCCTGGCTAATGCAGTGCTAGCAATCTTTGGTGCTTTTTATCATGTGCATAAAACCAAATTATCAGCTGTTTCTAAACAAGCATTGCTTGTATCAACTGTGACTAGAATTTGTAACTATCACACTTGAATTCATCACTGTCACAAATGTGAAAAATATTGCCGAGTCAAGGGCTTCTTTAGAAGTTGCTGAGGAAGCAAAACAAAGAGAGGGAAAGGATTTGTTTTCTTAATTTGCATATCAATCCTTATAAAGCTTGCTCTTACAAAGCTGCACTGTGTCTCCTTCCTGGAACTCTGCCTCACGTGTCAAGAAAGAGAAAACAAGCAATTTTGTTAGAGATTACTGTATATTAATTGATTATTATAAATAAGGACAGTGAGGATAACATCTGATAAGGAATAGAGTGGTGGTTTCAAAAACAGCAGGTGATTTACCCATATGTCTTCCATCAAAATTAATATTTCTCCAGAAAATGCTGTATTCCTTATTTTCTTTTTCTTTTTCTCCTGCACAAGTAATAAACTGACTTGGAAAAGTGGTAATGGATGTTCAGTTTTTTTCCTTTCTTAAACTATCTGCCAGGCTGCTAGACTGTGCTGTGCCAGTCTGACAGTAACTTTGTGTATCCTGTTCTGAAATGTGCAGTATTGCTCTATAGCACAGTAAGCTCTCTGAGAAAACCAAGTCATTAGAAATGAGCCATTTTGGAGGTGGACACCGAATAGGAGAGAACACTGATCGATTAACACATACGTATTGTCCACCTCAGATTACTGAAATGGCTTTTCTGAATAACTTTTGGCGGCGTCAAATAGTCATTGGCTGGCCACAAATAATGCATACCAAATTTGAAGATGAAAAGGGCTTTATAGAGGATTGGAAGGTGTGGACCGAAACTGGACTTATTTTGGAAAGTAGGTTCCAGCTTTAACTACTGAGTACCCTTTACTGCTTCAAGATTTGCCCACAATTTAAAAAAAAAAATGCTTATTTTGGCAGTATAATTTAGTGGTTTCTACGAAAAAACTTAGTGGTTTCTATTAAAAGTCTTAGGAGTTTCTGTCCAAAAACCTCGAGTTGGAAGGCTTGTTTTGTGTCAGGATAGGTTCTGAGGTCTGCATATTACTTTGTGTTCATCAATAATTATTTTACTTATATAATACCATTTAGCCAAGGATCTCAAAATACTCAATTAAAACACTAAGTAAAATCGGTGAGGCATTTTGTGGCTATAGGCTGTTGGAATCCTTCTTCGATTCAAGATCTGAATGTACTGCTTATTTTATAAAAAGAAGTAGACAAACCAATTTTCCCAAGCAGTGCCTTCTTCCATGCCTGAACAGAGGTAATTCTCATTTTACAATATTTATTCAATACTTGGAGACATTTACAGAGAAGACAGGTGTGGGAATGCCTGCAGCTGGAAGAGCATGGAATGCTGGTGTATGATATGTCAGAAAGGCATCGCTGTAGGCCTAACCATTGCTTCTAAGCTGGAATACGGGTAATGATGCGGAGAGTGCAGTCAGCTCAGGGAGGCTTAGATTCTTGTAGGTGGGAGACTGAGTAAGAATGTGTGCCCGTATGAGAAGCTGAACCAGTATGATTAGGTCATTTTATTTCAGAAATTTTAAGTTCCCCTACCCAACCCCCACCCCTTTTTTTTTTTTTCCCTTTCTGTCCCACTGAAGTCAAGTGTACATAGCACACTGCTGGGGGAGGAATCAGATTTTTGTTTATCCTCTCTCATCATATTCACAACAGCTAATTTTGCATGGCACTTACTGGCATAGTCCCAGCTGTGTAAATTGGATTCATTTAATCAGGTTATTTACTTTTCTGTGCCATACTTTAAATGGGTAGAAGTTGCCACAGACTAGCTGCAAGGGATACCATCATCTCTTCATGTCTCCTCATAGTTTGTTAATTAAAGGCACTGCTTCATTAAAGGCATTTTGTTATATGCTTTCTGTTTAAAAATAACCTTTCTGCTCAGACTTGTGTAGCAATCATCACATGCCATTATTGTGGTTTTTTTCAAAATGGGAGAGACTTAGCCAGATCTCTTTGGCTGTAGAAATTAAACTGTATGCAAACAGGAGATAAATTTTATGGCAATGCAAACTGACTGTATCTTCTGATCTGCAAGTGTGTCATATTTACACTGATCATGCTATATTGTAAATCGTGATTTATGAAGTGGTAATGCATAAATGTGTGTAACTTTACAGATATATACATCATCTTTCCTGCTAAGCTGGAACTGGATTTGAAACAAAAGCTTCTTAGAATACAGACATTTCCTGATATTCAGTAGTTGTTTGGCTTCAGTCCTTTGGTTTGGATTCATAGAGAAATCAAGTCTCATTTCAAATCTTGAATTCATACTGACCTAATGTGAAGGCAAGGGATTAAGGTTTGTTCAGAACTATAGTTTTAAGCAGTATTACCCCATGTGTGTTGAACAATGCAGGGCTGATCTCCAGTATATATGTGTGTATTTATAAATAAATGAATAAATTCGTGTATGTATGTCAGCTGTTCTGTACAGAAAACCCAGATTTCGTGAACTGTAGATTACTTCATTTGACCACAAAAGAATTCTCTGAATGATTGCATAGTAATGGAGAAGATTTTATCCTGTAAATATTGGAATATTTATAAGAATAGTAAAACTTTTCCCATTCTGTTTTTTATTAAAGGAAAACCACTGCAGAAGAATAAAAATCCTAGGGGACTGTTACTACTGTGTATCAGGATTGACCCAGCCCAAAACAGATCATGCCCATTGCTGTGTTGAAATGGGACTGGATATGATTGACACCATCACGTAAGTACTGTGCACAGAACCCGGGCAGGAGTGCTACAACAGCTTCTATGTGGCCTTCAGGAATTGTGTTCTCAGAAAAACAGCAGTGTCTGCTAGCACTGCCCACCTAGCAATTCACACTGTTGCATTCAGGTCACAGGATACTGATTTTAGGAAGGGTCATTCTAGATATTGATTTTCCACTCCATTTAATTGCTGTGAGGAAAAAGTGCATAAGTATGAGTATGTTGAGGCACATACACATATTGATTAGGGGACAGAAATATACCAGGAAATAACAAAATATTCCTGTTGCCATTTGCCACAGAGAAAGGAGTCCGATTTCTTGTTTTACAGGGATAAACACTGCTCATTTTGCACACCAGTATGTAAACTGAAAGCCAGTCCTGATGGATGCATGTTGTATATGTGTTTGTATTCTCAAAATGATAGCTTGCTGATTTCTCCTTTCTGTATGTCATGCTTAAACCTTTAATTTATTGTGATTTTCAGAAATATAATGTGAAATTCACTTTGCTGATCAGAAGATTTGTTTTATGCTTGAGAGTTCTGCATTCATCATTAGTTTACCAAGGTGAAAAATGTGAGTGTGAGAGAAATGTGAATGAGCTTTTAGCAAGAGATGAAGATCTATTTTATTACATAGGAGGGAAGGGATAAAGATGGGAAATTTCTTCACTACTGTATTGCTCTGTGTGTGTGCGCATGCACGTGTTTTATAGGGAGGCTATAGGAGGGAGTGCATTAATGCTGCATATAAATAAATATTTGTCAGCACAGTGCTATTACATTTGGAATGAGCTTGCACAGGTGTGTCACATCAGAAGCCTTAGCCTATTCCATATTGGAAAGTGTTTGGCCACTGTTTCCAGTAGCCAGTTATTCCTTCTGTCTGTTGTCAGCTGGGCCATTGGGAATATGCAGTTGACTCAAGGTTCTGCTTCCCCTCACTTAATCCCCAAGTTTTTGCATTGTACGCAGGGAAGACTTGCCTTCTCAGTGAAGGTGAATAGACCACAGTATAATTTCAGTTTAAAAGTGAATAGTAAACTATTAAATAAAGAAAAAAAATTACCAAACATAAGCCTTGTGAATTCAAATTATGCGGTTTTTATTTGGAACATTTCACCTTCTTTCTTGTTCCTAATAAAGATTTTGCCATATCATATATTTCATGTCCATTTGTATGTGAGGATGTTGATGCACATATATGCACACAAAGAAGTTGTTTTTCCAAAACCAAATTGTGCTCATTTGTGGAGAGTCTTGGTGTTGTAGAAGAATGTGTTATGATCTGCTCATAGAGTTCACTGTAAGTTTTGTTTGCTCAAGAGAGTTGGGTTTATCTCTATGGAAGTAATGACTACCTGTTCAAACCCTACTAATGCCTATGGGGAACGTGGACATTACCACACATGTTTGATGTTTGATATTTGATATCAACCTTAAACTTTTCTGTGAACCTGGATTCATTGAGCTTTCTTTGCAGAGGACTTGAAAGCATAGGAAAAAGGAGAGAAGTACTTGAAGCAATTGAAGGGTGATTTTCAATTCTAGCTCAATCCATGTATTGTTATTATAATGTTCATTTATAAAACCTCTCAGAATGTGAAGAGTTGGGTAAATTAATCTGTAGTCTCCCTCTCATTCAAAGCAAGATCTTCATCTTTGTAAAAACTGTAAAAATAATAAAAGATTTTTTAATCTATGATAATATATGAAAGTCTATAATACTATAAAATCCTAAAAGAATATCCTAAGTCTGCAAATTATGTATATGTGCATTCTTCCAGCTATATATGAATGCTCCATTTATAAGGACACCTTGATGTTTAGAAGCATAGTTAGATATACAGGCCTTGTACACATTTTCCAAAGTCTTTTTTTCTTTTTTTTTAACCACTGGAAAGCAGTAGCTGATGCTCTCATCCTCTTTTAAACCTAGCATTAATCTTTAATTCATTAGTTGTGCTGTGTTTCATGTATACAAATAAGGTAGTGATATAATTGTCTGAACTTTCCATTTTGGAATTTTTCAGTTTTACTAATATTAGAAACAAAACATGTTCACTTTTTATACTATCATTCATTGGCTGCTGTCATGATAATGTAAGCTTGAAAAAGGAGTTGAACTAAAAAGGAAGGAATGAACTGGGACTGTTCAGCCTGGAGAAGGCAAGGCTCAGGGGGAAACTTATCAATGCATACGAATACTTGATGGGAGGGTCTAAAGAGGACAAAGCCAAACTTTTCTCAGTGGAATCCAGTGTCGGGGCAAGAGGAAATGGGCACAAACTGAAATACAAGAATTTCCATTTAAATATAAGAAGAAACGTTTTTGCTGTGGCAGTGGTCAGATACTGGAGAAGTTGCACTGGAAGGATGTGGAGTTTGCATCAGTCCTGGGGAACCTTCTGTAGCTGACCCTCGTCTGAGCAGGGGGGTTGGCTTTGATGATTTCCAGAGGCCCCTTCCAGCATCAGCAACTCTGTGATTCTAAAAGTGGATGAGTTGTAATGTGTTATTGAGACATGTTTAGTCATAGGCTGTGGTAGAAGATAACGAACTGACAATTTCAGCATTTTATTTTTCAAATAATTCATAGATTGTAAGTTTTTAGAGTGTGTAGTCAGTGGTCTGAGCATGGTGAGAGGGCAAAATGGAGAAGAGGCAAGGTTATAAGAGAGTGCCAGATTTACTATTTTTAGGGTTGTTGAATGGCTAGAGACCTATTCTGTATCCTTTGTACCTGAGCAGAATTAATTAATCCTTTTTTTTTTTTTCAATGAGGAATTAGTAGTGTGAATAAGTACTGTAAGATCAAGGTTCAATGCATAGTTAAATGAAAGTCCTTGCTCTGTTTATGTTAGGAAACAAGAAGATGGTGTATTCCAAGTACCATTGCCCTCAATGGCAGTACTATTTTTTTTATTTTATTGCAAGTAGAGCATCGTCTGTTCGGATACTGATGGAATCTAGGTGAGGTTCTTTTGGTGACAGAAGCACATGGATAAGCCAACTGCACAAAGAGCTCTAAACCAGGAAAATAAGTTCTGCTGAAAATTAGGAAAAACTCTTCGCTCCTTCACAGATACCAAAGTTAGAAGATGAATTCCCCCACATTAATTTGTTTGAAAATATGATGAGCAAATGAAAAGAAGTGAAGGGCTTATGATGGTGAAGTAGGAATGCAACTTTTTCTTTTCTATTGGTGTGATTACAAGGTGTTGTTGCTTATCAGTCCCATGAGATACAGAGTCACTTTTGTTTTTAAACTTCCCCCTTTCATCCAGAGTTGGATACCAGCTAGTAGTCTTCTAAAGGTCTATACACTTTACTGCAGAAGTCAGGTCTTGGCATTGTAAATTTATGCTTGGAAGTTGTCATCATTAGTGACAGATTTGTCATATTACCTGGGATAAATAAGTAAATAAAATCACTTGAATTGTGACTCAGCTGATGAATCTGTGAAAAGTGCCTGTCCCAGAGATATGTATTACTGTCCTGGTTATAGCTGGAATAGAGTTAATTTTCTTCCTAGTAGCTGTCATAGTGCTGTGGTTTGGATTTAGTATGAGAATAACATTGATAACACACTAATGTTTTAGTTGTTGCTAGGCAGTGTTTACAGTTCAGTCAAGGACTTTGCAGCTTCCCAGGCCCTGCCAGCGAGGAGGCATGAGCCTTTCTGCAGGAGCTGCACAAGAAGCTTGAAGGGGACACAGCCAGGACAGCTGACCCAAACTGGCCAAAGGGATATTCCATAACATATGATGTCATGCTCAGTATATAAGCTGGGGGGAATTGCCTGGTGGGGGGGAGGAGGTGGCGATTGCTGCTTGGGGACAGGCTGGGCATCGGTCAGTGGGTGAGCAACTGCATTGTGCCTCACTTGTTTTGTTTATTCTATTATTTTCTCTTCCTTTGCTGTCCTATTAAACTGTCTTTATCTCAATCCATAAGTTTTACTTTTTTTCCATTCTCATCCCCATTACACCATGGGCAGGGGGGGAGTGGGCGAGTGGCTGCATGGTGCTTAGTTGCTGGCTGGGGTTAAACCAAAACAGTCCTTTTTGGCACCCAGTGTGGGGCTTGAAGGGTTGAGAGCACGACAGATCTGACCAGAGTGTTAAAACAAATTTGTTGTACACATTCATTATATTGGTTTAATAGTTGCTGTCATAATGTTGTTTTATTTGTTCTCAGAGTTGTGTTGTATGACACCTTACTTGCCATATATATCAGTATTTATGTGCTGTTTATCACATTGGGGAGTTGGATTAGGGTTATCGCTTTGCTATGTTATGTAGCAGTGGCTTATGATATGATAAAATAATTGGTCATGAGACAAATCTGGTATTTGTACTCAGCATTGCCGTCATCTGTGTACTTCAGGAGCCATCTATTAGAAACAATAATTACACTTTTTACCTTTTCCCCTTGGAGACCCAGTCTAATCGGGAAACGCCTTCCTTCATTTCCCTTTTCTCCTCCAAGCTAATTACAATAGCTCTTGAGAATTTTGAATATCCTTGGGATGTTCAAACCAGCATGTTCCTACTGGTATGTCTCCTGAATGCGTTGCTGGTCTTCTACTTGTTTAAAGTCAACAAGCAGTTTAGGAATATGACCCAGGCTCTGTAAGAGTATGGTCATAGGTTGCATGGCATGTGGGAGAATATGGGCTGTTATCTAGAGAACCTCTCCCTTCCAATGGTCTGGAATTTCACCCCCTGAACAACTACAGGATCCTGATGAAGTCATAGAATGTTTGAAAAAAAAATATTCTGTGGCTGTTCCAGACAGGCACAACTTACCACACTGTGCTGGACCCTGGCTAATACCTACCAAACACTGCTCAATATTATGCAGCACCTTCAGGGAGAAGAGAGGTAAAACAAACCAACAGGATCTGTGGTTACTCCAACCCCCACAACAGGTACTGTGGCTACTCAAACCTCAGTGACAGGCACTGTGGTTACTCCAACCCCAGCGACAGG